CTGGGGGCGGCTCGCGCGAAGAAAAAGGTGCAGGACGTCACAGAGAAACTGCCCAGTCGCCAGGAGCTCTTCAGGGACTGGAGGTTCTGGGTCGCTATCATCGCTACGCTTTCTCTCTTCTCCGCCTTCGTGCAGTCGTCGCAGAGCATCGGTGGGTCTCCTGTTTAAGGTTTTTACGTGTATGTTATGTACACAGTTTATTTCCATTTTACATTCCCCATCAAAAACTAAACCACCCGTCATGCCCACAGTCATCCGAAAAACCCGGACCCCACCTCTGGGTCTATCTCCAGTAGCGCTATCGCCATGTTCAACGCGAGCAGCATCGTACCCGCACCCACCACTCCCGACCGCACCTTCATTGCAGTCGCCGTCTCCATCTTGGGCATAAATAACCTCGCAAACAGTACGCTCGACATCTCCCCGTCCAGATAAAACACAGGTGCCATGTTGAGAATCGCCAGCCCCAGCGAGATGCTCGAAAAGTATTGTAGCAGCCGCTCAAGCACGTTTGGGATGTCCAGTCGCGCCACCAGCGCCACTACCCCGACCGGCAAGTAACGCCATAGCCGGGGGACGTAGCTAGACACCGTCACCGACTGCCCAAGCACTTGCGGATACCCTTCGTAGAAAAATATCACTTGCTCACCGTTTCGTACGCCCCGCACTTCAATGTCCACCAGCTGTTGCTGCATCGGAAGCACAGGCAAGAAGCAGCTCGTCTTCTCACCACCCTTTCCACCCTCTTCACTCTCTCCAGCATCCCCTTCATCGACAACCCCACCGTCCGTCGCTATCGGCGGCACAGCGCGATTTAAAGCGTCTATCTCCGTCCCTCCCGGGTCATCCTCATCAGCAGTCCTAGAAACAATACGCCCCATACTCCCCCGCTCGCCCCCTCCATTACACTCGCGCGTCTGTTGGCATCTGTCCTGCGCAGACACAGCAACCAGGTCCAAGCATGACGTCCTATTCTGAATTCCTTCTACCCTGAAGCACTTGTGCTGCAGGCCGTCTGCAAACTCCATACTCTGCAAGTACTCATCGCGACAGCACGGCGACCTCGGTTTAGAATGATTCCGATACAGGCCCTCCGGCACACAAAACCCGACCGAGTCCCCGGACGCAATCAATCTACTCACTGCCCGACGAAACGACGGTCCCCCATCCATAACTGGGAATGTCCCTAGCCTCACAATAATATCCCCCGGTTCCACATGCCCGTGCAGCGGCGACATCTCCGGCAAGGACACAACCATAGCCCCTTGCTGGCACGCGTAAATCCCGGCCATGATCGCCGGCAGCCACCCCGCCACCACCAGCGCCAGAATCGCCGAGACGAGGTTATGCCAGGGGCCGCCGCAGTACACCTTCAATTGACTGAAGGGAGACAGCTCTTCGATACCGCCGAGCTGGACATAGGCGCCGGGAAGCAGCAGGGCGATGAAGCCGCCGATGCCAGACACTTGCGCGTTCTGCATGCCGGCGGCGAGCGCATGCCCCAGCTCATGCACGATGGCGGCGGCGAGCACGGCGGCAATCATGTACCAGATGTCACCGGCCGGAATGGTGATACCGGGAAGCAAAGGGGTCAGAAAGGTGCTGCGCGGGGAGGGCGGGGTATCTTTGCGTGGCTTGGAGGGCGAGGGGGAAGCGGTGGCGTTTCGCGGGCGCACGTGGAAGCGGGAGGAGGTCTGTACTTGCGGGTCGGGGTCGGTCGTCGATAGGAGATTGCGGGTGCGCCAAGAGATGGTGATGGAGGATTTTTCGCCTTCGGCAATCAAGTCGGCCTCCTCGTCGTCTTCGTCAGTGGTGGTCGGACGGTCGGTATCGGGGAGAGCGAGGTGGGCGTCCGGGCCGGGCAGGGCGGGGGCCGGTAACGCGGCGGGAGGTAAGGGGGGCTGGCCGCGGCGGAAGGGGTTCCACGGGGTCTGCGGGGGACGCCTGCATGGGGGCTTATTGGGGATGCGGATGCGGCCGGCGTGTGGAGGGTGCGGATGGCCGTGGCGGCCGCGACCGCGGGGGCCGCGGTGGCCATGAGGGGGAGGCGGGGGATAGTCGTAGAAACCCGAGGGGTGGGAGCGACGGGAGCTGTGCCTGAAGCGGGAGGGGGCGGCGGCCATGCGGGTGGAGAGGGCGAAGGAGTGGGCCGCGGAGTGGTCGCGCGGGGAGAGGCCGGTCCAGAAGACGTGCGGCAGGAACCATGGGCGCGGGGAGTGGTGGAGGAAGGGGACGCGCGGGGAGGGAGCACGCGGTGAGCCGAAGGAGAGGGCCGAGTGGAGGCGCGGGGAGGGACGGTGGTGCGGGAAGTTGACGGGGAGTATGGGAGGTGGCGGTGGAGAGGGGGGGTAGATGAAGTCGAGGAGGGTGAGGGAGAGGTTGGAGAGGAGGAGGAGGACGGAAAGGAGGAGGCCGAGAAGGCCGAAGAGGACGCCGATGGAATACCAGTAGGTGAGGAAGGACTTGCGGCGGCGGGCGTAGGACTCGATAGGGGTGTTGAAGTAAGTGGTGTGGAAGGAGATGAAGCAGAAGTGGAGGCGGATGTTGTGGCGGGTTAGGAGGGTGGAGAGACGGCCGTGGGTGAGGGACTCGACGAGCTTGAGGAGGACGAAGAGAACGGTCCAGGCTTGGAGGAAGGTGAGGAGGAGAGACATGGGATAGGGGAAGGTGCAGGGTTGGTAGAAGGCAAGGCAGGCATGAGCGAGGTGGAACGGGTTATGTTTTCGGGTGTGCTTGTTTTCCGAAAGTGGATTGACGGCGAGTGTTAGTGTCCAGCGGCGATCAAGCTGTCGACAGCTTACCGACATCGGCAACAAGTAGGTTGGTTTTTTTTGGCGGAGATTGTTTCCGCATCATTCAACCCGTTTTCACCGTTTTCCATACAGTAGAATACAACCACCCGCCTGTGTGACACTCGAGCCATAGATCTCAACTTACCTCTTCTCGCCCACCCTGTTAGGATACCACCGTCATTGACGATTACAACAACAACAACAACATCGCACCTTTCGCCCTCGCTCCGCCCGCAACGCGTCTCGCGA